CACACACACACACACACACACACACACACACACACACACACACACACACACATGCAAAACACACACCACGATACACGTAACAATCGTCCGGCGCGGACCGGCAGCGTTCCGGAGAATCGGCGGAGATTTTCTATCATTTCTCAGCACACCTGAGATTTTCCTGGCCATCCGCGTGAAGGGGCGTATGGCAACGATAGGAGTTTTTGTTGTTTCCCTTTTCCCAATTAACTGCAGTCTGGATCCTTCAGCTTGGCATTAAATTTTATCCCTGGGCCAGCAGAGAAGGCTTTCATTATTTGCCATAAGATTGTTACCGTTCCCTGACCTGCCCCTACTACTCTCTCCTAATGTCCCTCCTGCCTCCCCCCCCAGCCCCCCCTTCCCCTTGCACTTCCCCTTTCGTTGGCCCCCTTGGTTCTTCTCAGAAGCGCACAGTTCATCTCCTGCCAACCACTTTTGTAATCCGAGGGCTCTGTCCCCTCGCCACCGAACTCATGAGGAAAATCTGACGTCTGAGGAGATCTCTGAGAGCAGTGAGAGGAGGTGCCCAAAACTACTGAGTTCGGCAGGATGCTGAAGAGAACCTTAACCATGGGAAGAGTTTATGTTCCCTTTGTTCTTAAGCAGTGGCGTGTATGATCGCGGAGTTACATTCACACGGTTTTGTGACTTTGACTTTGCATCAGAGTCTAACATTAGAAGGCTAGGTCGTCCATCTGCATCAGGTCTCTTCTCAAGAAACCTCCTCTCTTTTGCTTCGCCAATCATGATTCTCGTTTGTGGGATGGTGCACGTGATCCATGATCGACGTAGTTGTCTTTGTCGTAGCCGGTAATGATAGCAATCTGGCGTTGATGATGCTTGTCTACGGTTGATGGTGGCAATGTCCACAAAAAAATCCGAAAGAGAAACCGCATTATCAAACGGTCATTCGTTGGTATTCGTGGGATGGTCAGCGATCTCTGCAAAAAGTTGTACCAGCCAAGGTGGGGGCCATCTCCTGGTCATCCAAGTTACTTTTCCAGATTTCTCCCTGTCCTTCTTTACGTAGAGGGGCTTCCGCACAATCCAACCAACTCTTGCTGTCTTTGACAGTGACATCTTCTCACGTGGGAATCATCACTCGGTGCAGGCATTTGAGTGCCTTCAACCCGTGCTCCAGATGGTGCAGTGCAGGAGCAGCCAGCAGGAATCTGTCGTTCTTTTTCTGTCCTGTGTTTCTGAGGACATCTGATTTCTGGGACTTGGGTTCCAGAGCACGTCTGCGTTCTGGGACCTGTGTTCCTGAGCACATCTGCATTCTGGGACCTGTGTTCGTGTGGGCCTTTGTTTCCTGAGCACATCTGGGACCTGCATTCTGGGACCTGACTTCTGGGACTTGAATTCCTGAGCACATCTGCCTCCTCGGACCTGTGTTCCTGAGCACATCATCTGCATTCTGGGACCTGTAGTCCTGTGGGCTGTTGTTCAACAGCACATCTGGGACCTGCATTTTGGGACCTGCGTTCTGGGACCTGTGTTCTGGGACCTGCGTTCTGGGACCTGCGTTCTGGGACCTGCGTTCTGCATTCTGGGACCTGCGTTCTGGGTCCTGCGTTCTGGGACCTGGGTTCTGGGACCTGCATTCTGGGACCTGCGTTCTGGGACCTGCGATCTGGGACCTGCGATCTGGGACCTGCGTTCCGGGCCTTGACTTCTGGGACTTGTGTTCCTGAGCACATATGGAACCTTCGTTCTGGGACCTGACTTCTGGAGCTTGTGTTCCTAAGCACATCCCCCACCTTCTAGGACCTTTTTTCATGGGCACAATGTCATCTGCGTTTTGCGATCTGATATCTTTCTTCTAGTAGGTCCTGTGTTTTCCTGATGACATGTCCTTGTGTGGGCCTGCATTCCAGAGGACATCCGCCTTCTGGGACACATGTTGCTGAGGACACATCTGCAATGTGCAACCTGACAGTGTGTGTTGCTGAGGGCACATCTGCAATGTCGTCTGCCTTTTCGACCCCTGTGTTCCTGAAGACGTGTCAGCTTTGGGACCTTCGTTGTTGAGGCCGTCTGCGTTTTGGGACCTGTGGGACAAAGGACATCTGCTTCTCGGGGCTATGATCGTTTGGGAAGCGACCTATGTGCTCCTGGACGAAATCTGCCCTCAGGCGCTGTGTTCCTGAAGACGTGTCCACTTTGGGACCTGTGTTCCTGAGGGCATCTGCATCATTCCGGGACCTGTGGGACTAATGACATCCGCCTCTTGGGGCTCTCATTCGGGGCCCTGTGGTTTTCCCCATCCCTACCCAGCTTGCTGACACACTCTGTTGTGCGTGTGAAGGGCGCTCGTGTAAAGGGAGGAATAGAACCTGTGTATTTCTTTGATTACCCATTTACGTCTGCCAAAACGCTTGGCTTTTTTGCCTTCAATTACTGCGTGCACTGTTGAAGCAAGAGCAAGTACGCAAAGCCTCCGTAGTATTCCCCTGGCATATGATCCTGTCTTCTTTCACCCAATTTTTCAGGTCTTTCCAGAGTGCAGGACCTGGTAGCTTTTCACCTTTTTCTAGCTATAATTATGATGATGAGAAGAGGTCCACGGCTTCAAGCTCTCTTCCACCGGCCTTGCTTTGCATTACCGCTGCGCTCAGCCGCAACGAACAGCGGAAGAGTCAGTGACATCCACGCAAGAGTTAGATGATAGGCTCGGCACTGTCGCCACGACTCGCCAGTGACGGAGGTCAGGAGAGGATGGACAGATGTTGTAACTTGTATTAAGTAAACAGGAGGAAAACGTAATAAGCAGAGGATGGGAATTGAGATGGCGAGAGAACTGAAGGAGGCTCAGGAGGAGAGAGAGAGACTGTGGGTAAAGAAGGAAAACTTAAGGAGATTACATGCCCTTCACCAAATGGCTCTCAACGGGACAGACTACTTCAGTAGTATCAGTACCAAACAGCGCCATAGATGATACTATGTGCAGAGTTCCACTACTGAGCAGTACAAGTGAAGCAGCATCTTGTGACTGGAGCCGAGGGGCTGAGGGACTGAGGGACCGAGGGACCGAGGGACTGGGGGACCGAGGGTCGGGGACTTTGAGTCAGGCAATGGTTTCTCAGGATCAGCACTCAAATTTTGGAGAATGGCGGTGAACAACAATAGTTGAAGTAGAGTGAGAGGAGGGTTGAGAGGGAGGGAAGGAATGGGAGAAGAGGAGTAGAGAAAGGATAGACCGGACTAAGGAACAAGGTGGGTTCTGGGATTGATGTGCGAGTCTCTCAGGATCAAACACTCAGCTGCATGGAGTATGATTGGAAGAGGAAGGGTGAATGGGAAGTGAGCGAGGGGAGAAGGGGAGCAATGAGCAGGGAGGAGAGGAGGCAGAGGAGGGAGAGGATCAGAGAGGAGGGAGGGAAGGCAGGGATGGGAATGTCTAATTATGGTGGATTGAACTGTGAGGGTAAAGCTTGATCGGGTTATGGGTGGAAGACAAGGAAAGATAGATTTATGATGGTCAACCAGTGAAATTCAAGTTGATGCTTATTACTCATGTACGTACTACTGAGTTTCCCAGGTTGAGGCAAGCCGGCAGAAGACTTTAGTGGCAGCCTGTTGTGACTCCGAGTCTGCTGGCGTACTAGCAGATCAGACTGAATGCCAGGCCACCAGTGATCTCGACGACACAGAAGACAGACGGGCTGAGTCGGATGGCACACACACAGCGAAGCAGCACATGCAAGACAAGGTGTTTACTATTTAGTATGTGCAGTTAAGTGGAACAAGACGAGACGACTAAGATGGCTTGGTTGGGTCACATTTCGTCAAGAATTGGGAAAGGCAAAATATCGAATGCCGTTTGTTCAGCCCGGGTGGCATTGTTCATGGCGGCATACCAATCAGAATGTTGATTCCGTGAGAGAGAGAGAGAGAGAGAGAGAGAGAGAGAGAGAGAGAGAGAGAGAGAGAGAGAGAGTTCCTGCTTCTGATATATCAGACTGAGTCTGCAAAGCAGTTGAGAAGCATGCTGTCTATCAGCATATTAATAATATGATATTATCCAATAATTGAATAATCACAAATAAGGTTGAGACAAGTGGAGAGTCTTGACCCGAGTTTGAAGAGTAAATAAAAAAATAAAAAAAATAAAAAATAACACACTACAGTAACTGGGATGTGTTTTGTGGAGGTCAGTGAAGGATGTATTTGCAGGGAAGGCAGGTGCAGGCAGCAGAGAGGGTTGAGCTAGTGATCAAGCATGCAGACGAGGCAGCACTCTGGGACGGTGAGATGGTTTGCCTGTCTGAAAGATCTTTCAGACTGTGAGAAACCAAGCAAGCAGGACAAACTGGTCTTCCTGTCGCCGCTGTCGGGCTGCCTCCAAAAAGAGGCAGCGATTTTTGTTAATCCAAATTGTTGTTGTTTTTGTCCAGTCCACACAAGGCATTAAGTATATAATAGTACAATCCCTTAAGTTAGCCTTGTGAGTCTCTGTCCACTGTCCAGGGTTTGCAGGCAGGCATTTTCTCAGCCTTTGCCTTTGAATCCTTGATCTTAAGTCTGAGCTGTAGCCTACTAGCCGGTAGGGTTCGACGTCGTTTTATTAAACAGCAAAGCACGTCATCGGGCTGCAGGCAGGTGTGGCGACATTGCTGTGCTCCTGATTCATGGGAATGCCCGGATTCACCGCAAGGATTACATTTCTTAAATATACGGCGAACAAACAATTTTGTACTTTCTGTCCATGTACTGCATTTCATTCACTTGTCTCTGGTTTGGAGAGAGAGAGAGAGAGAGAGAGAGAGGGAGAGAGGGAGAGAGGGAGAGATGGTGTGTGTACGAGTTAAATTTTGCTCCTTGAATTCTTTAGCTATAATGGTAGTGTTCTTCTTGAATCGTGAGTTGAGCCACTTGGCTGATTTACATTCCATGCTTGACCGAGGACTATGTGGTGAATCGTCCCCATTGCAAGTGGTGCTTGTTATGTGTACTATGTCTGTTGCTTCTTCCTTCATCATCCTTCGGATCATCAATCCATAGCTGGAGTCGCTCCACGGATATACACACCTCGACAAGCAGTCGCATCATGTGATCACATCTGAAGAATCATCCCCACGTGGCGGATCAGTGCGAGGTGGCATGAATCGACACTGCCACGTGGTGGATGCATGCATGTCGTGTATTCTTTCTGCTTGCTTCCGTCTGCATGCAAATGATCTGGGAGATGACAAAAGGAATAGGGAGCCCGATTCGGAGAGTTTAAACTGTGAAGCAAGCAAACCAGAAATTAAGGAAGTGAGGGAGGTCCATGTGGCCATGTGCTGCAGAGAAGCGTGACCGGGACATCACATGGAAGGGCACTCTCGCACTTGAACCCAGTCTTGATTATGGCCCCGCATTCAGTAAAAAGAAGAAGTTCTAGTGTGAGGTTCTAGTGTGAGTATGCCCTCTAAGTGGTCATGGGGATTGTGTTGGTGAAGACTGAAAGGCCAGTGGGACAATGGGACATTGTCAAGTTCCAAGTCAATGTCCCGATTTCTCTGGGAGGGAAAGGAGCAAGCTCCGAGAGCTTAAGGAGAGAGCTTAGGCTCTTTTCTGTGAAACTGCACTGGCAATGTGGCACCCGGGTTTGTGGACATGGATATAATGCATATGCGTACCTAACATCTCTGATTTCTGTGAGATTACTGTGGAAGTACTATCAGATTCTGAAACCTACTCGCATCCGATCGTAATGCACAGGCATGTGAATGGTTCTAGCTTCGATAATATTGTTTCAGAAGGAAGTATGCATGGCATCGCCAAGGATAGCATGGCATCACATTGCATGGCAGGACATGACACGAGTTGGCGATCCGCTAAACAAAGCATCTAGTTTCAAACCTCGACTTCGTAATGCTGCTCATGCAGGAAGGGTGACATTCAGATTGAATATCGTGATAGTATCGTGATAGTGTCGTGATAGTATCATGATACTATCATAATCATATCATGATACTATCATCAGATCACGAGCTTTGTTTTCTGAGTAAAGAAGAAGAGGGCAAGAGGACAGGGATGTAGCGGTGGTAGTGGTGGTGGTGGTGGTGGTGGTGGGGTCAAGGGCTACCATGCAGAGGCATAGGGTGGACAGATTTTCTGATTGTATTTTGACAAGGACAGAGTCTGAGAGAGAGGTTCAGAAGCTCCTGGACACGCGCCGTGCTGATTGTAATTGTTGTTGAGAGGTGTTTCGGGAAAGGTGCAGAAATTCAAAATATGCAAGTTACTTGCAAATCCGCATGCCTTTGTACCTACCATTACTCTCTATCTCTCTCTCCTTTTCTGTTCAATGCCACGTGTGTCTCATCACATCCCCCCCCTTTTCTCTCTGTCTCTCTCTCTGTGTCTCTCTCAGAGTCTCTCTCTCTCTCTCTCTCTCTCTCTCTCTCTCTCTCTCTCTCTCTCTCTCTCTCTCTCTCTCTCTCTC